CACAGAAACAGTACTATAAAATTTTAGACACATTCTAGACAGTTTATCAGCTAAAAAAAAGGCTAATTTTGGGGTAAGTTACTCTAATGATCGCGGGGGTCACTGGTGCCCATATCCAGCAGTCACAGTGTGAGGGGCGGGGTACACCCTGGACAGGTCGCAAGTCCATCACAGGGCCACACAACAACCACTCACTCTCACCTAGGGACAATTAGTTACCAGTTAAGCAGTCATGTTTTTGGTCTGTGGGAGGAAGCCGGAGTACCCGGAGAAAACCCACGCATGCACGGAGAGAACATGCAAACTCTACCCAGAAAGGTCCCCGGACCGGGATTTGACATCATACTCATCATATTAATTCTAATATTCAGTCAATGAGGGATCCTACCTGCACACTCTGGACCTGTGGGCTCTGGAGCAGGATGGTTCTTTGTCTTGGTTCTGATTCTGAGAAGCAGCTACAAGACAGTTTCCCAATTATGTGGTGTCGTACCATTTATATTATATAACGTTATGTTACTGACTTGATAATTAAGTTACTTGAACGGTGGTTTGTGGACACAATTCAAAATGTTGTCTTACCCGTTTCATCGTCCTGAAGAAGAAACACTGAAAATTTTGCTAATTTAGCACATTTAGCTTTGTCATTTTCCATAGCTGTCCTCTTTTTTGTTTTCTTCGCACCACGCAGTTCACTCTTCAAAAACTACTGACCGTGTGCGCTACAGTGTTACCTCGGAGCACCAAAAAACAACAAAAAAAAAGRAAAAAAAAGGAAAAAAAAGGACAAGAGCTGTCAATTAGAGGTGGAGGCAACTCTGGGAGTATGGCAAGCCTTTGTATCATATAAATGGCCGGCAATACAGGGAAAGCCGTAMGTGATCTGATCAATAACTAACAAGTTATACCGGTCCTTGCGGCCCAAATATCAGTCCGGCCCACCGGGAGAAGTTCAGATTGTCCCGATTAGCCACTCCGGGCCTGCTCTCATTGATTATAATGGGTGTGTATTTGCTGCAGAGGTCGGACTGGAGCAGAACGGAGCCGGAACGCATGCAATGTAAATTAGGGGTTACACCCCAAGCTACTACCACATCAAATTTTAGTAGAGTACAGTGCCTTGCAAAAGTATTCGGCCCCCTTGTGCTTTTCAACCTTTTGCCMCATTTCAGGCTTCAAACATAAAGATATAAAAAAAAATTGTGAAGAATCAACAACAAGTGGGACACAATGTGAAGTGGAATGAAATTTATTGGAAATTTTAAACTTTAACAAACAAAAAACTGAAAATTGGGTGGGGCATGCTAAATTATTTGGCCCCTTTACTTTCAGTGCAACAAACTCACTCCAGAAGTTCAGTGAAGATCTCTGAATGATCCAATGCTGTCCTAAATGACAGATGATAAATAGAATACACCTGAGTGTAATCAAGTCTCTGTATAAATGCACCTGCTCTGTGATCATCTCAGGGTTCTGTTTAAAGCACAGAGAGCATCATGAAGACCAAGGAACACACCAGGCGCATCTGAGATACTGTTGTGTGAAGTTTAAAGCTGGGTTTGGATACAAAAAGATTTACCAAGCTTAAAACATCTCAAGGAGCACGGTGCAAGCCATCATATTGAAATGGAAGGAATATCAGACCACTGCAAATCTACCTAGACCCGGCAGTCCCTCTAAACATTCATCTGGAACAAGGAGAAGACTGATCAGAGATGCAAGGCAAGAGGCCCATGATCACTCTGGATGAAATGCAGAGATATACAACTGAGGTGGGAGAGTCTGTCCATAGGACAACAATCAGTCATACACTGCACAAATCTGGCCTTTATGGAAGAGTGGCAAGAAGAAAGCCATTTCTCAAAGAAATCCATAAAAGGTCTCATTTAAAGTTTGTCACAAGCCACCTGGGAGACACACCAAWCATGTAGAAGAACGTGCTCTGGTCAGATGAAACCAAAATCWAACTTTTTGGCCACAATGCAAAACGATATGTTTGGCATAAAAGCAACATAGCTCATCACCCTGAACACACCATCCCCACAGTCAAACATGATGGTGGCAGCATGAGAAGATGGTTAAACTTGATGGGAAGATGGATGGAGCCGAAACAGGACCATTCCGGAAGAAAACCTGTTGGAATCTGTAAAAGACCTAAGACTGGGACGGAGATTTATCTCCCAACAAGACAAYGATCCAAAACAAAAAGAAAAATCTACAATAGAATGGTTCACAAATAAATGTATCCAGGTGTTAGCCAAGGGAATATTAAAGATGATGCACAACAACAATTTTGTTGTTAGTTTTAAAAATATTGAACCACAGGATCGTCAAAATGAGTTGATTCTTTTATTTTATTTATTTTTTTGATACAAGAAATATGTCAGTGAGCAACTGCAGGTTTATTCAACAGATTTGAGGGAGTATTAAAGACGACACAGAAGAGCAACTTTTCAGTTATAAAACATATTGAACCACTGGATCGCTAAATTGAGTTAATTCAGTTTGTTTTGTTTGTTTTGTTGACGTCTGTCACACAATGGGGCGGCTGTGGCAGAGTGGTTAGGGGAGTCGTCCTGGAACCGGAAGGTCACCGGTTCGATCCCCTGTGCCCTTGTGTCCTTGGGCAAGACACTTCATCCCTAATGCCTCTGATGTGTGTCCCATCAGTGTATGAATGTGACTGGCACTGATTAGTCTCCKTAGATAATTGTACGTTAGCTTTGTACTGATATGGTAGAGTGCTGTGTGAATGTGTAAATGAGGACACAGATTGTAGTGTGAAGCACTTTGAGTGTCCTGGATGGATAGAAAAGCACTATATAAGTACAGTCCATTTACCATTTATCCATTAAATACGTTGCGGTCCACTTCAGCCAAGCTGAAATCTGCTCCACATCTCGTTTGGTTCTGTGCTGCTGGGTTTATTTCTGAACGAGTACATGTGAGCAGGACATGGCAGGCTTTTACTGAGATTTATGAATGACCTGAGGGAGCTTAAAGTCTAAAGTCCTGGACGCCTCCCTGGTGAGGTATTCCGGGCACGTCCCACYGGGAGGAGGCCCCGAGGAAGACCCAGGACACGCTGGAGGGACTATGTCTCTCGGCTGGCCTGGGAACGCCTTGGAGTTCCCCCGGAGGAGCTGGAAGAAGTGGCTGGGGAGAGGGAGGTCTGGGCCTCCCTTCTGAAGCTGCTGCCCCCGCGACCCGACCCCGGATAGGCGGAAGAAAATGGATGGATGGATGGATATTGAGTATTTTTATGTAACTTTAAAGAGGAAACCTCAAATAGTATTTATATATTAAGATTTCCCAGTTGGAAAGTAACAAAAACATTGCTAACTCACATGGAAAAATTAAAACTTTTAAGGCGTTTATCCTCAAAATCGGTGTTTTTGTTGCTACTGCTCAAAAAATGCTTCAAAAAAATTTTAGGATTATATTTCAGACATTTCATTCAAATAAAAAATTGATAAGGCATTAGTTCATTATATTTTTTCAAAATGCAATTTTTGCACACATTTAAATCAAAACCCTATATCTGCCTATTTCTCCACATTCCACTTTTGGACTTAATCCTCATTTCGATGTGATGGGTCACATATATGAACCCAAATAAGGCTGTGAAATGTCAATGATAAGTCTTAAGACAGCAACATGGCAATATCTGACTCATCTGTAAGGTTGTGTACAGAATGACCCAGTGTGCAGGCAGAAATCCATAAAGTAAGAAAAAGGCTGACGAGGCAGCTCAAAGTACTCACAAGGAGATCTCAGGGAGCAAACACGAAGAACACAGAGACAACCAAACTGGCTGGGGAACCAGCACGATGAACGGACAAACACTGAAGACAGGACACAGAATATAAAGGCAAACTAATTAAGGACAACAAGAAACACCTGGAGGAGACACAAGAGGAAACAGGTGAGCAAGGGTGGGGCTGGAGCAGGGCAGAGATCCACAGGGGAACACAGAAACACTAGAAAACTATAAGGAAAATGAACACAGATCATGACATCATGTTGTCTGTTGAAGAATGTTCATGGGTTGACTGGGTTATTTTAGTGCTTTAGAATTAGCTTTTGCTAAAGCTTTCAGTGCATTAGTGCTTTAGAATTAGGGGACCTAAATATTTGAGTTAGTGTTTTAGGGCTAGTGGAACAAATTTTTAGATTAGTGCTGCCCACCACTGGCGCTAGGTGTATGGCAGGAAACTTTTACGGTGTTCCTGAATGTGACATCTCTGACTCCTACAGTAGCAAAGGCACGGGGAGCAAGAAGAGCCTGTTTTAAGTGTTGAGCTTTTTGGACAAAGAAAACTCCCTTCATCACCTTCTCACGTCAACTCCTCTGGATGTTTACCTTTTATAATGAGCTTCAAAAACCTGAGAACTTATTTCTAGCGGCAGAAGAGATTGGAAGATGGTTATTTAATGTTATTTGTTGTTTTTTTGAACGTCCTACAGGCTCTGACATGTTAAATTAAAATAAAATAAAAATTATTCCATTCTCTGCATGGAAATTACTGCAATATTTTATCTAATATTAACTTTAACACTCCTGCTCTATACTTTGATTGAATGGGTTTGTTAAAATTAGAGCATGAGGCATGAGAAATGTTGATCAGTTCCAGTTGGGTAAGCAAGTAGAGTAAGGTGTGACAGGACATATTACAGAAGCTCATAAGCCTGCAAAATTATAATAGACTGGTTTTCATAGCTGAATGGACTAGAAAGAAGAAGCTCACTTAAGAACCATAATTAGCTGTCATTACTAATACTCTCTGGGGCTTAAAGTCTCTGGAAACTAGGATTAAAAATCTTATAAACGCCCCTTGCCTTGGTTGTGCTTACATCAGTGAAATCCTACAATGCCAAAAGTGGTCATAAGCAAGTACTTGCTGAGTCTCCTCTTCACAGACTGACTGGACATTTCGTCACTGCTTGCTGACAGGCATAATAATGAAGTCTCATTCTGTAGCCTGCGTGACGGCCCAAGTCCTTGAAAGTCAACGATGCCTCTATATCATTTTTTGACAGACCACCAAATACTGTGTGCTTCTCCACATTAAATTGGAAACTCTGCTTTTTCRTACAGACTTTTTCCCTTCCTCCTATCAAAGTGATGCACTGAATAACAATCAACTTCTAGTAAGAAAACAGTCTGAAAAGAAAATCTTGATTGCCTAGAATTGGAGTCTGGCTCATAATAAGGAGCATGAGTGCTTCAGACACGCTTCAAYTGATCCTGAGAAGGCACTAATAAAACTCTACTAATATTATATTAATCTATTTACCTTCTGAAACACTTGCACAGCTAAATTCTTCTTTGTGGCAGAACAATGGGCGTTTCTCCATTAATTATTCAATTATATTTTAAAGTATTTGCATGTTGAATAGTTTAATCTTTACATCAACTGAAGACTGGATGACAAACAGCAGATCCATTGACTGTTCTTGAGAAAACTGAACAAAATATTGTAAAATGTGGATTCTTTGTTCTTAGTCTCAGACACCTGTAGTTAAAAAGGCACAACCTTTAAAATTTGTTCTAAATGTCAACCCTGCAGCATGTATTTGAAAGTGTTCCCAGATTTGCATAGAAAGGCTTTTGACGTTTGTATAGCTGACCATGTGGGACTGAAATGCTGTCTCAAAAACACAGCATGAGAGCCCACCTTGAACTACAGAAATCATGAAAAGAAAAATTAAATCAAACTGGGTTGCTACTGGTCTGGTTTCAAATATTAAAGAAAATGTTTTTAATACTGGAACGCATTACATTAGGGGCCTGATCTACTAAGGTCTCATAAAACCAGCACTAAGTTGCGTATGCAAAATAAAATATTGCGCAATTAGTGGGCATATTGCAAGTGATCTATCAAGATTGCTGCACAAATGAGAAGAGGTGCAAAAATGGTGCTGACCACCCCGTTGAAATCAGAATTTTTCACGAGCTACTGGCTGTCACCATTGAGAGTTTGGGACAGAAGAGTGGGCCATTAAAGAAAAATGAAGTTTGAGCCCATGGAGTTGAAGGTTTGGTAGATGAGGCAAATGATCCAGACACAAGAACATGCAGTGTTGCAATAAGCTTTTCCATAGGAGATATGGCTTCTATTTGTGACTGGCTCCAAATCAGTCCTCAGGTCCTCCAGCAGCTCAAAAAATGGCATTGCTGGATAGACAATACGCCTCTACTATTTATTTTATTTCTGACAGTCCAAATACGAAATGTGCACATAACTTTCTTTCTCTCTGTCATCTGTCACTGCACCTATGTCTAGGCCTGTCACGATAACAAATTTTGCTGGGCGATTAATTGTCTCAAAAATTATTGCGATAAGTGGACTCTCAGTCTCTAACAAAAAATGCACTTGAATAAGAAAAAAACAAAGAACAACAAAATGTAAATTAAACACCACACACAAACGTGTCTATGTGTGTGTGTGAGGAGGGGACAGTCAGTGAGGAGACAAGCAGAGCGCTGCGGGGAGGCAATCAGACAGGTCGCAGTTTTCCTCATGAGTTGTTGGGACAGCTACAGGTTTTTTTGGTGTTTTGTTAAAACACAGATGGTGCGTTTAAGTTTCCTGTTATWTTTGGGAGCTACAGGTAAAGTCTTCACGAGTTTGTCACGGGTCTGGGGGAGTTTCAGCCCCCACCCCTTCTCCTCCACTCTCTCTCTCTCTGTGTCTCCCCGTAGCGAAATTCAAGCTCTGCAATTGCTCCGACACTGCAGCAGCCGCGTTCTGCTTTGAAACGTTTCTTTAGTTTGTTATTGCTACGAGCTCTCACGCTAACGCGAGAGTTCACTCCTCCCGACACTAAGAAAACAGGAGGGGAGGAGTCAGCWGAGCTCCTGTGTAGCGGAGCACAGAGAGGGAGGGAGACAAAGTAAACCAACAATCAGGAAAATGAAACATCGTCCTCATTTTTTTTATCTACCTCAAAATAACTTATCATGCAATTAATTGATTTATTGACTATCGCGACAGGCCTACCTATGTCTCCTTCTGACTCAGTGACCGGAGACATTTGTTTGCACCAGTTTGCTCCTGCCTTGCAAACATGTAAATGTATAGATGCAAAACCAGCATGCACAAACTATTTCAGGTTTGATAAATCTGGTGCTAAATGTTTACATTTACACATTCTGATTTTGGACATTCTGATAATCACTATAAATTTTGCAAATACATGAAGGCAAGTTTGCTAAATGCCTGCTATTTTGCTCATTTGACAGACATGATCCTCAGTGCACATGCTTAGTGGATCAGTTTTGTGCTCACTATTAAGTTTGCATGTTTTTATATATGCAAATTAGGGCTGGGGGATAAATCAATTTAATCAATTAATTCAAATTTGCCATTTAGAAAGATTTAATTTTGGGAAAATCAAGATTGTTTTCCCACCAGGGCACTCTTTGGGGTTACTGTAGTTCAGCGGTCACCCCACCTGTCCCTCAAGACGCTTGATATATGCCATGACAATATGGCAGCTAGCAGAGGTGAGTCACCACTGTGTCTTCAGTTTTCTGGAACTGGTTTGGTTTTGCAACCTTGTACTTGGAGCAACAAACACCTCCCTGCAAAATCTATTTTAAGGCTCTTGCTACAAAAAGCAGGAGTACAATAAATTTGTTTCAACATCTGAAACAGAGGCACTCTGTTAAGTGGGAAGCAAAATCGATAAAAATCAAAAATTGAATTTAGAATGAAAAAAAAATCAGAGATTTATTTTTTTGGCCCATATTGCCCAGCCCTAATGCAAACCTTTAGTAGATCAGGCTTTAGTCTCTTAGACTCAAGCTTTTGACATCCATCTAATTAAAAACAAATTTTATAAATTCTCCAGCATTATAGCTAACTAATCTGTGTGCTTGTATGAACATTTTAGATGGGAAATGCTTCAGACACATCTTCTGTGTTTGCCTCCAGCATCTCCAAGGAGCACGACATCATGATGGGTTCACTCTACAGTGTGTTTTGTGAGTGCTACACATCAAGATGTTTTTTACCATAACAATCTTTGGAACTCATCTTCTTGTATTTTTTTTTTTCGTAGGTGTACTATCCGTCACTGGCAACTGCATGTTGCTGCTTGTTGCCTATCACAAGCGATCAACTTTGAAACCAGCAGAGTTCTTCATCATCAACCTGTCCATCAGCGACCTTGGAATGACGCTCACTTTATTTCCATTAGCAATACCATCAGCTTTGTCACACAGGTACCTCTTCAGTACAGCATCAAATCAACATCTCAAAAAACAACATTTCCTAAATAATATCATGAAATAATGTCAAACTGTTTTGATAGCTAAATCATTCTTGGATCACTAGGGGTGGAATGGTACAAAGAAATTCTGGTTTCATATCTTGGTTTGATATGATCGTTTGGTAAATATTCAGAACAGGGGAAACAATGTTTCACTGCCAGTTTTTCTAGTACTGACCATTCTGACCAGAATCTAGTCTTCTGGCCTCTAATTTTCATCCAAACACTCGAGACCAAGCCTCCTTGAGTTGCTCTGCCAGACGTGTGCTTGTGTGTTCATTAATCAAGTGAGTTTGCAGAGCAGGGCTTTTTATCTTCCAGTCAAATGTGATGTACCTGTTAAGTAACTCAACAGCTCTTGATGTTCATCCATCTGCTGCTGTGAGAGCAGTAGCAGAAGCCTTGAGTGAGTCATGGACCTGTCACTCGTACTTGCTCATGAAGCGAAAAGAAAAGTACATTTCTGATTCATTTGTAGACAAGTTTAAAGTTAGTAATAGTACTCCATCACTTTCAACACGCATTTAAAACCACCCACATAGCAGACTGGTGTGGGCCAGATCTGGTCTTAGGTCGTATTCAGACCTGATAATTTGCTCCGCTTTAAACGAACCAGAGTTCGTTTCCAGCGTTGGTCCGGACCTTTTGTGCAGGTGTGAATACACTCATGCGAACTCTGGTGCGGATCAAACAACCAGACCCAGACCCACTTTTTGAGGTGGTCTCGGTCCGCTTCCAAACGAACTCTGGTCCGGTTCACTTTAGTTCTCTTCTGGTGTGAATACAGACCGGACTCTAACCGAACCAACTGCATTAAACATGCACCTTTTTGGACTTCACAGGCCACCGTTGCTGAACTAAATAAACTGAAAACATACCTGTTTCATTGTCTCCTGTTAGCAGCTCTACTGCCAGCATGTTGTGGGTCAGAACATGCAGAGCACCTCGTCTCCTTTGGGTCACGGGACACATTTACTGACATTGCTCCAAAATTAGAATATCATCACGGAACCACCATTAAATTAGCTGCTTCTGACATTTTAAATGCTATTGCAGTTGGACTATCAGCAAAAATGTGCGCATCAGAACCGCAGCATGCAGGACTTCATAGTTTTCTTCTGGGTCTGTGGCTCAGTCCTGCCYCCGTCTTTTTTTTGTCCAATGGGAGCAATGATCGTCAGCCTCGTGGCTTTAAGCTGGCACTGCTGGCTGACTGCTGGCATGGCAAGTGGTCTGTCAACCCAATGTGGGCAATAATGGTGCTGTTTTTAAGATGGCATGACACACCTGGCCCAGTTGTGGTTTGGTTTTTGTGGTCCATGCAACACATCTGGGCCACCAAAGGGCTGTCATTCATTGTGATATCTGGACTAAGACTGAATTTGCTATGTGGTCATGTTATTAAGAGCTGAGTATGGTCACATGTCACTGCTTGGTTGCTTGTTTTGCTTTGGCCATGTCTCAGTTGCCTGAATGCCTTAGGCAGTTAAGCTTGCACTACAGTTTATTTTGCTTCCTGGTATCAGTGATCAGTGTTTCCCCCAAACTTGCTAAGAAAACAAACTTGCTAAGCCTGATAGCTGGGCTGCTAGAGGCTACTGTGTTTTTGTTAAAACATGTTAAAAGTTGACAGAAAATTAGAAAACAGGACTGTAATTGAGTTGTTGTAAGACAATGTTAACAATACTTAAACCAGGGTTCATGCAGGTTTCAGTAAGTTAAATTTAAGACCTTTTAAGACCATTATGAATGACACTTAAGACCAAAGCGACACATTAACAGGAAAAGTCAAATGGTCCCAGAAATCTTAACATAGAAAC